TATATATATATATCACACTCTAAATTCATCCCTATTAATTTTTTTTGAAGAAATACTATTTACATTACGTCGTATTCTAATATTATCTTTATTAAATTCATTCATTTAAATACTTTACATCCACATAAATTTTATATATTTATCCCACTTTAAATAAATCCCTAACACTATAGATCTACACAATCCCTAAAACCATAAACTCTTTTAAACCAAATAATGAAACAAGAACAAAGCTAGACTGATTAAACATTAAATTAACATATACTATTCACTTAACTATGTTAACAATGTTAATTAAAAGTTTTATCGTTCTTATTCATAAAACTCAATCCATCAAAGGCAAACCACCACAAATTAACATCCAAACTAGGATGAGGATTGCCTCTAGAGAAAGTATAGTGAGCAATATTGAAACTCATCAAGTTTGGATTCTGATTGGTTTGCTTCAATCATATCTTTCTTGGTTTTCTCCCAACTTGGCCTAAGTCGAACTTTTTCATAACAACAATCATGTTATATCTCTTACTAGTAATTTCAACTCAATCAATCAAGGCCTCTTTACTTGTTTTTTTTTTTTTTTTTGATAACCGTGGATGTATGGGCCAACTTACGCTCACCTCGACTAATTCCACGGGCCCCTGAAGTTTACAGTCGGATACTTACCTCAGTGGCCCTGATGTAATTCGAAAAGACCTCTTTACTTGTGAACACCTATGTATCATCAAATATTTGTATATAAATAAATGATCATATTAAAAAATAAAATCATTACGTACCATGTTTGTCGTAAACATATATGTATAATCAACAAATAATTCATTCTGGACATCATAGTTATGGGTTGATGTATCCTATATTAAAAATATGGTGTCAAATAATGTCATTGGCATAAATTCAAAAAAAAAAAAAAAAGATAAAAAAAAGATAACAACTGCGAAATAGATTGGAACTTTTCCAAATTCCTGTGAAGAAACCCACTGTAATTGAGAGGGAAAAGAAAAGCCCACTATAAAACCCACTTGCGAAGAAACCCAATATAATTCTGAATTTCCATTGCAGATGAAATCAAAAACCGTTAAACCAAGAAAAGAAATCAAACTCATCGTGACAAATTCATGTTCGTACAATCAAAATTAGACCGAAAAAAAAACCAAAATAAATTTTAATAGAGAAACTAATACAAACATTCCAAGAAGATAGCCGTAAAACCAAGCCCATATTTGGTACACATTAAAATTTTCATTCTCATTCTTCTACTTATTTCAACTACACATTTTTCAATAAAATAATATTTTCTATCACATCAATAACTTTTCTTTTTTTTTCAACCACAAATTCTCCATCAATCTACTATTCCAGAATACATTCTTTCAAAATAATGTGGATCAAACACACCCCAAGAAAAAAAAATTAGAGCGCCCAAATTCAAACACAATATCACAAGAACTAAAACCCATAAATGTCTTAATGCCTTGGAAAAAAACAAACAACAAAACACGATAAAAATGTAATTCTTTGTTTTTCAAATTCCTCTTCATATATTGCTATGACTGTACATCGTCTCTTCCATTGTTTACTAAATTTTTGTCTATTAAAGTTTCGAGTATTGGAATGTTTCGAACATATTCATGTAATTTTCTCTGCTCTTTTAGGGTTCTAATTAAATACAAATTCCAAAGACTATAAAAAGTTTTAGGATAATTTAATGAAAATAAAAATTAGTTGACGAATTTAGAGTTATATATTTTTATTTAATTTTATATATATCTATTTAAATAAATTTACATATGATTTAAAATATAATAAAATTTTATTTTTCAAAGTGGATGTATATATATATATATATTAAAAAAAATGTGGATGAAATAGCGATACCCATTCCATCATTATTATGATAAATAGTATTACTTGAAAATATTATATATAAAAATGGAGAAATGTTGTAAGTAATAATTCATAAAAATGAAAAGTGTGAATTTTACAAAATGGGATTGTATTTTTCTTTTCTTTAGTTGTCTAAAATAGTAAAATGTATAAAAAAACACATGCTTTTCCTTTTTAAGGAGAAAAGAAATAAGGATCATGCTACACTCACAAAATGGTTTACCTAATTTTTTACAAACTGGACACTTGGCGCCCCCTGTTGGAGGGGCGCCTGCCACCTCCAACAAAGGGACGCCAAGTGTCCAGTTTGTAAAACATTAGGTAAAATATTTTGTACATTTAGATTTATCCAAGAAATAAAGAAACAGAATTTTGCAAGTGGCAGTGATTAAAGTATGGTAACCCAGTAAAACTCTCACCGACAATTCTGCTAGTCAACACCCCCATCTTCCCTCTCTGTCTCCACCACTCATCTCATTCCATCACCACCACCATGCCACCACCGTTACTCACCGCCACCTTTCTCATCCTCTTCCTCCTCACTACAACCACGACCACCACGACATCCCAAGAATCCGACCCTGAATCAGATTGCACTAATAAATGGATCCACATCCGTTACCTCCCTTCCCAATTTAACCTTGACCTGTTACTCAACTGCTCCCAATACCCCCTTTTCGATAACTTCTGCAGTTATCTAACCAACCATGGCCTCGGCCAAAAAACCCACAACAATTCCCACAGCTGGTACAGAACAGACCCGTTTATGCTTGAACTCATTTTCCACCGCCGGATGCTTGAATACCCATGTTTAACACCGGATCCAAATCTTGCTGATGCCATTTATATCCCATATTTTGCTGGACTTGATAGCCTCAACTACCTTTTTGGTCCTCAAGTGAATTCAAGTTTTCTTCATGGATTAGATTTGTATCACTACCTAGTACATTTGGACACACCTTCTATATGGCAGAAAAATTTTGGGCACGATCATTTTTTGGTAATGGCACGTTCGGCTTGGGATTTTATCCAACCTCTATCGAACGATCCACCAATTTTTGGCACTTCATTTCTTGAATTACCTGAATTTTATAATGTCACTGCATTGACATTTGAAGCCAGGGCTTATCCTTGGCAAGAAAGGGCAATCCCATATCCCACTTCTTTTCACCCTCCAAATTTAGCATTTCTTGATTCCTGGGTGAATAGGGTGAGGAAATCTAGGAGGAGTGCATTGATGTTGTTTGCTGCTGGTGGTGGGATATCGGCCAATCCCAATATTAGACGGAGCATTAGGCTAGAATGCGAGAATAGTACTAGCATGAGTATGAATGGTACTGGATACGACAAGTTATGCGAGTTTGTGGATTGTTCGAATGGCATTTGTGAGCATGATCCTATAAGGTTTATGAAGCCAATGCTGCAGGCTAGTTTCTGCTTGCAGCCTCCAGGGGATACCCCGACTAGGCGATCAACATTTGATGGGATAATTGCAGGGTGTATACCGGTATTTTTCGAGGAATTAACTGCGAAAAAGCAATATGGTTGGCATATGCCAGAGGAGAAATATAAGGAGTTTTCGGTATTTATACCTAAGGAGGATGTGGTGTTTAAGGGATTGAGGATTTTGGATGTGTTGATGAGTATACCAAGAGGTGAAGTTAGGAGAATGAGAGAAAATGTTATTGAAATGATTCCTAGAATTATGTATAGAAAGCATGGGAGTTCATTGGGTTTGAGGAGTAAAAAAGATGCATTTGATATTGCAGTAGAGGGCACTCTGCAGAGAATCAAATCAAGACTTGAAGAACTTACAGCTCAATGATCCAACAAGGTGTTTGGTATGCAGTATCAGACACTACTCTATAATATAAAGAACAAGATTTTATTATTCTTTCTTAAAATTGTCGAGTAAGTCGTTCCACCTCATCAAACAAACTATGAATGAGTTTGAGGGGTGTTTAGTTTTGCTTAAATCTCTGTAATTATAGCCATTTGGTTTTCTTTACATTTGTTTGTAAGTTATTGACCAAATGTTGTTGAAAGAATTTTTGTAATCCAAATTCCACATAGTAATAAACTCTTATCAACTTATGAATTGTATGTGTTATAAATGCATAAACTTTTGCAGAAGATTGAATAGAACTTATCCCTGCCATTTTCAGGGGAGCAACTATCATCATTGTAAACTTTGAGTAGTTGAGGGAATTAAAGTTATTTTAGAGTTGTTCTCATCAAAATTATTGTGGCAGATTGCATAGCAAGTGAAGGTGTACATTTCTAGGAAAGAGGCACATGCTCATTCAACACAGTTTCTTTGTGTTGCTTATAGCGAGTTTGAAGAATCTTCTCTCCGGCCGGATATCATCTTTTGGATTTTCGAGCACTATCAAGACAAACTTTCATTTGAGTAGAATGTTATTGAAGGTGTCCAGTACTTGTTCATTTTTCTTCTTGCTTACCTTGAATCTCTCGGTGTTTTGATTTTTGTGTGGGTGTGGCGATAAATCCCGGCAGATTCATATATTTGGTTGCGCGCCATGCCTCTGTTCTCGTCCACCACCATTGGGTTGACAATGGAGCAAAAAGCTTGCTGAAAAAGTGACTGAATGAAAAAGATGCATAGGCTGAAAATACATTAGAAGCCATTGATTGCATATCACCACAATGACAAATGTACTTGAATTGATATTCAACTATTCAGAGAGAGATCTTAATGGCAACCATACTATTAAGTATACAACATGATATACACTTGAAAGGCAAAAATATAACATGCTCTGATAAAAGCATAGAGCACTACTGATATCTGATGTAATATTTGAACATTTCGTCACTGCGTAGCAGCCGGAATGTACTTTTTGAAGTCTTCATGAGCCAATGCGATCAAATGTTCGTCTTGCCACTGGTCACGGTAGGTCTCAGGTGCGGTTCTCCTCCTATCGCTGGTTGCATCATACATTTGCTTTCTCCATTCTTCCGAGGGCATACAACCAATCTTGTTAGCCAACCAATCATTATATTCAAACTGCAGGCATGCATCAAATGTAGATAAGCAATATGAAACAAAATGAAATCAGAAATATAAATAAGCAAACACGTAGATTATAGTGGTTTATATTCTGTGAAAGCCACGTCAACTTCCGCTATAGGTTTTCAATAGCGGCCCTAAAAATTCTTTATATATCATATGAATATCAGGGGTTATGTATACAATATGATTAGGCTCCACACGTTCCAACAATATGTCAACGAGAGGCAGAGATCAGAAAAATTCATCTAAGAGGAAAGTGTTCCAATCACGTACTTCATAACTTACTGGCTGATTCATGGACATGTTTTGAAAACTAAAGCTCGAGTATGTCATACAAAAGGTCCTTATGAAATGTTACATTGAGAAAAGAGAATTGTAAATGATAGGGAAGACAGCAAGGTTCAGCAAAAACAAAGTCAAAAGAAAATAGATTCAAATAGGAAACAGGCGAATAACACGCTATGTAACCATATTGTCTCTGCAGTTGGAAATTAAGCTAAATTTGCAATGAAGGTTGAAGATGATACACTGAATGTTAGTCCTTCACAATAATTATCCACCATCAAATCTAAAAGAGGAATTATGAATCGTTGTATCAATAGAGATGTACTAGATCTAGATCCACGTATTCATGTATAGATAGTCAATGTACTAGATCTAGGGACCATTTCATTTACAAAGATTAAAATAAAATGCTCCTGCTAATGATATAAATTGGAGTCTTAGGTTTGCGAAGAAGTTGTAAGAGAAACCATTCAATAAGCAATTGAAAGAGAATTTTAGTGAGCTACTTTTGCCTCCGACAAGTTATATCCTGAAAAAAAAAAGTTCACTTATCCCCTCGCCGTGAAGGATGGGCGTTTTGGGAGCATAAGCTCTCGAGGCAGTTTACTGTGTTCGCAATAGTTTTCCTTTTTCCTTTTCCATTCATTATTGCTTCCAAATTTGGAATTAGGTTTATTCCATAACACATTGACCAAGTAGTATTGTACCTGATAATCACTTAGGTTATGAGTATATCGCTTAGGAATGCCAGATGCTTCCAACGATGAGTAAAAAGCTTCGGTATCCGCCATCATTTCCTCTGTTGATGGAAGTAAAATTCGACCAGATAAAACTCCAGCGATCCACTTGGTCTGATATTCAAATAAGGGGAAAGGTGCAACCTGGATACAACTCAATCCTAAGGTTTAGTTAAAATCAATCCTAAAAAGGTCAAAATCACATCTATAGAGAAAATATAGGAAAATTGCTGTATTTGTCCCAAAGTTATTTTACGAGTAGCAAGTTGGTCCCCATTTAAAAAGAAGCAGGTTAGTCCTCAGCCTATCATCATATTTGAAGAATCAGTCATCAAAGCAAAAAAACATCCAAATTTTCATTAAATCATTGTGGGGACCTTCATGAAAACATGTCTTGGCTTTAAGTTTCTGCCTATGTGGACACCAGCTCAACTTGGAAAACGGTTTCGTGAAGTTAGACATGTGAGGAGGGCCACAAGACGATTTAATAGAGATTCAGGCAGTTTTTCATCACTGATAACTGATTGTGCAACTATAATGATAGGTTGAGAACCAACTTGCTCATTTCTGAGGTTGGAGACTAACTTGCTACTCAGGAAATAGGTTGATGAATAGTGCAATTCTCCCATGAAAATTAAGCACGATGAGAAAATTTATCAAACCTTCCATGGCAAGCCAACAAATGAAAGCCATGGGGCTAAGGCTGGTGGGAAAATGTGCTTATAAAGTGGACCAACTCGATTGTCATCCACAGTCACAATGCCATTGGTTTCAAGAAAAGGAAAATGATACTTGTACCTCGAAAATGAAATAGAATGCCATTTAGATCTTTCTTCATCCTTAAAGGGAATAAGTAATATACTTCTTTTGCTATATAGAATAAAAGTTGGTAGAAAACAGAGCTAGATCCTAAAATCATTATTCATTACATACCCCGTGCAATGTAGGATAACATCAGCAGGGACTTCGTTTCCATCTTGAAAAGCCACAATACCATCTTTGTGAACACTGTTGATCTGCAGATTATTGCTGTGTCAGTATTATCTGATCAATAGAATTTGCAGCATCAACTGTTAAACAAACTCACGCTGCACAGTTACAGGGCTAAAGCAACTTTACCATGGAATGAAGCCAAATATTATCATGGCCCGGCAACTTCCCAAGGAGTCCAATTTGGTCTGATCTAGAAGCAATGTGGACTTCTTTGGCAACTTTAGAAATGTCTCTGGAAATATCAGTAGCACTTGCAGAACTGCCAATCAGCACCACAATCTGTATAACATCAAATAAAATAGAAATTTTCATGTAAAGTACATAAGATCAAATATTACAAGAAAAATCTGTTTTATTATTATTCCCATCATCTTGACCCAACTATAAACCATCATGGTTGTCCAACAATAAAAGTAAAACAAAGTTGTTATTTAGGAGAGAGAAACCATCTATGATCTTTTTTCAGCTTCCTTAAAATAAATACACACCAAAAAATAAAATGAAAAAAAAAAAAAGAAAAGAAAAAGGCAGATCCAAGGTTGTGGTGATGCAAGTATAGAAGAATATAGAGACGAAGAGAGGGAAGAAGGGACGACAAGAGAGAAGAATAGAAAATTTTCTATCTTCAACTCAATAATTAAGCTAAAGTATCTTCTAGTTAATTAATAGACAAAGAGGCCTAATTTTTTTTGCTTTACATGGTCTAATGCATAACTGGATGCGCGCACACTACTTTACACATTCACTTTTGGGGAAAGAAAACCGCCATGGCTGGATGCCAGGTGGATTTTGATCAGATATGCTTAATGATACACGTCTTGAGATCCAGAGCAGGGAACAAACAATAATTGTAACTGTAAGGGCATGTTGGTACCGAGTATTAGACATGATTGGACACAATTAGACAAAAAATTCTTCTCTTTTTCTTTTTATTCATTAATACCATCCACTACTATCTTATCCAACTTACCAAACATGTTATAAATGTTTTAACATTGCAGCTTTACTGTTGATCTTATCAACTACTTATTGTCATCCTATACAATGAAATCGACCAGCCATACTAATACTACATCAAAGTCAAATTCTAATGGACTAGCCAAATCCAATCCCTCTTTCTCTACGCTAATTCAAAGAACAATATTTGTAATTAGCAGATGACAGTCCCATTCCAGCACCTTCAACCATTTAAACAGAATAGAAGTTTGAAACTGTTCTGCTTCTTACTTTACCACCAAACAAACCTATGATACGTTGGCCATAGAAAAGAATGACATTTTAGATGTTAGCTTTACTAAGAGGCCTTAATTAGTTTATCCGTAGACCAACTAGATTGGACATGCAGAAAAGCAGTATAATTTCTCATCAAATTCCATGGTGAACTGAACACATTCCAAACAGTAATTCCACTTTAAATTTGACCTGATATTTCTAACACAAAAGGAAAATATTGCACCTGATACATACCTGATCTTGTAAAGGCTCTGGAATGCGATAGTTATGACTGTGAATTTGCTTTCCTGACCATTTATCAATGCCTGAAATGTATTGAATTCCAGAAAGATCAACAAAAAAGGGGGAAAAAATAGACGCTGGCTGTCAGCTAATGCTATCCATGCTCTACAGAAGAGAAACGTTTATGCCTCGAAAAATAGAAAGACTGCCTATAACTTTAAAATCCCCTAAAATTTAAAAAAATGATCCCTCAAGAGAAAAATAGAAATCATAACCAACTAACAATACATTCCATGGTGCTAAACCTTTTTGCAGGAATAACTTTACCATCTTGGACCACTAAATTAACTACTTCAGGTAAAGAACTTCAGATATTGCCACATTCTTCAACTATAATTGACTTAAATGCAAAAACATACAATGCATGTTTGGGGTTGCTTTGTTTGACCTTCTAGAGAGAGTTACTATCAACATAACTTATTTTTAAATAAGTTTGAACTCAAATACACTTACTAATTCAACAAACTTATGATCCATACATAACCCTAACATTCTAAACGATTAAGGTCTAGAAAATGTAACTTAAAAAATATACTTACAAATGCATTCAACAATAAGAACAAAGCAACAAAGTATGCCTTATTTCCTGGTAAATTTAAGGGTTGGTTACATGCAGCGGCGGATCCAGGATATTGAACCAGCTAGGGCGGCCGTTAACTATCGCAATAGCAAGATTGTCTATTAATATTTAATTAAATAATATTAAAAAAAATTTCAATCAATATATAAATGTACTAAAATGTAGAAGTCATATACATATGAAAATATAATTCAACACAATCCAAAAAAAAAATACATTTGTCAATCATATGTAGATGATCAAATTTCAAGTTTTTACGAATTTAAACGAGACAAAACGAAGACATGATTAAACGGAAAAGACAAACTCTAGTTTAAGCGAAGTTTATGCAAAAATTTTAAAACAATAATTTTTAGAATTAGAACTAATTTTGACTTAATGTTTTTCGAACTCTTAAAAGAAAAAAAAAAAAAAAAAAAGAGTTGTTAAATTGACCAAATTTAATTTTACAAAATAATTTGATTAAATCTAATAATAAAAGTATATATTATGAAATAATANATTTGTTAAAAAAAATTAAAAGAAGAAGAGGAGGTGATTGAAATCGAACCCACAATCTTTTGAATTTAAAACAAGCACTTCACAATACGAGGAACACCCTTTATTGGTTAAAAATTGAAAATTGGTACAATTTTTATTTATTATTTGTCAAAACATTAAAAGAAAAAGTGAAAGTGAAAGGAATCGAACCTCACTCATCTTAAATAGAGAGTGAGCACACAACCATTTGAGTTACATTGTTTGTCATGTAACATTTATGCTGAGAAAAATTATTTATTGGTTAAAAATTGGTATAGTTTTTATTTATTTGTTAATATTTCAAAACATTAAAAGAAAGAGACGGAGGAAGGATTCGAACTGTCCTCTCGCGTGGAAAACTAGCATCCAACCACCTGAGCTACAATGCTCATTCAGTAACTTTTATGCACTAACATTTATATATATTTAATATAAAATCTTCCTTTAATCTCTCTTTTCGACAGATCCAGCACAGGCGGCCTCCCCGGCTCGTCGGGTGCTGGATCCGCCCCTGGTTACATGTCTATACCTCCAGGCCATTTGGTCGATCATATTACTAGAATGAAAACAAACCCTTTACCCATGTCAATTTTAGTATAGCTGATCTAATCAACTCTGTAGAACTTACCTTTTAATTCTATACGCATCTTATGATCACATAGAATATATCTAGCAATGCTCCATTTCATCCAACTTGTTCTAACCCTCTACATTATATCGTATTCAAGTCCTGAGAAAAACTGAGCCTAAATGTCAATCATTACAGTGACTTCACCATCTTTATTCGTACTTCACTAAAATGATATTCTGGCTTTCTAGGCATGGTCGACAGTACATTACTTGAAAGTGTTAAAAGAATTAAAAAATAAAATCTTTTTTAGCCTGTCCAATCCAATATTGCATGTAAAGTATGGTCTCAAAGTATTCCAGTTTAGTCTAAAACCTTTAGATTCTACAGTGTTGCTTTAAAGTTCTGAAATTATGATTTATCCCCACAACGAGAACACGAGATTTTGACCCATTCACAATTAAGAACATCTTAGACCAAACCCAAAACGTATCAATATCAAAACTTGAGAAATTGACAGAATTCAGTGGTTCTCAATTGAAAAAGTAAAAAGAAATATTTATGGAAAGAATTACCGGGTATTTCTGCGAGTCGTGGCTCCGAGTAATGCCCATTACAAACCACTACAACATCATAAATTTCATCATGATTATCACCATTATTTTTGTTCGTGGATTTCACCATCCATTTGCTACCCTCCACCATTCCCACGTACCGGACATCACTCCCGAACCTCACCAGCTCACTGAGTTGAAACTCGGCAGCATAATCCTTCAAGTACTCCAGAACTTCCTTATGACCCGGGAACCTCCTCGAATCCCTTCCGGGTTTATCTGTTGATACAAACGGGTACTCCCTGAATCCCATGGCTTCACGGGGAAGGTTGGTGCGGAGGGAGGCGTAAAGGCTGGTGTGGACAATATTCCTTTTCGGGTCTAGGCCCGCCGGGTCGGACTCTGTCTCTGGAGTGTACACCCAAGTGCCACCCAAATCGTTTCCGCGCTCGTAAACTACGACGCTGTGGCCTTCCCGCCGTAGCTCAAGTGCGGCGGAAAGGCCAGCGGCGCCGGCACCGATGACGGCGACGGTTCTTGAAATGGGTGTAGGCATTGCAGGGAGATGGAACCTGAGCGTCGAGATTGGGTCTGGTATGATCATCTTACGTTTTTATACAACGACTCGATCAGGAAAATAATTAAATAATGATAATAATGTAATGTTTTTCATACATTTATTTTTGGATCTTAGGTGTTGTTTTGTTGCGAGTGGTGATGGCAGAAATAATTATCTGTATTTTCTTCTAAAAATGGCTACGGAATTGTGAGAACAGATTTTTTGCCACACGCTTCAAATTTTTTTGATTGACAAAATGGCTACGGAATTGTAAGAACAGATTTTTTGCCACACGCTTCAAATTTTTGATTGACAATTTGGGAAGAGAGAGAAACCAATGAGGTGCTGTGCACAAGCCTGCCAAAAATAACTCTTGATCCAATTCGTCGTACCGGACTTGCCTAATACAATTTACCTCTCATATGTGATTTGCGAGTTACTATACATGAAGCGAGATTTACCTAATGCGCACTCATAATGATTGGGCCTTCGCCCCTTGGGAGTGCTCGAGGCTCTACGACAGGTAGCGACTACGGGTTCCTACGTAAAAGAAAAATCTAAATTTTTTTGACTATTTGTCGGTTAAAGTCACGAAGAATGCAAGTAAAATATTGATACACGCTTTACAACCTCGGTAAACGAATGTTTGATAAATTAATAATTTTAATTAAATAATAAAAAATTTCAATCATGACTTGAGTTAGAGCACTAAATTAATAACCCACTAAATAAATAAGATAATATTTTTTTGGAATAAATACATAATTACGAATTTACGATACTTTAAATATATAATTTCACATTTAACAAACTTACAAAAATATTTGAAAAATCAGGCAATAAGTTACAGTAATATAATACACATATTTATAAGATATTAATGCCTTTGTATTAAGCAAAACCAATTCCACGTGAATCTCCGTCTACACAAATGTCTCAACCCACCCCAACCCACTAAACACACCCCAATCAACCGTAATCATCACACCAATCAAGAGCGAGGAAACCATCGGCCTTGTCGGACGCAGCACAAACAACTGACGATTTTTTTTGATAAGTATATCTCCGCACCTTTTTTAGAGGGTAGAGATCAAAATCAGATTAAAATTGAAAAATTAGTCGTTATTATTGGATTTTATTAGACGAGTGAGATCCAATAACGGTTATATCTTCAATTTTAATTGGATTAAAATTCCTCCCAAACAAGCTCATGAGAAGTAAGCAGTGAGGACTACAATGATTCCGTCGTCGCAAACCACCACTTTTTTGTCGAATTTGGAGCATCCATGGGCGGCGATGTAGATGAGGAACAGCAAATTGAAATTAAGTTGTGAGTCTATTTGTGAAATTGCCGTGAAATTTGAAAATGGGATGTTATGATTAGCATTTGATAAGATTGCCGGTTTTAGCAATGGAACACAAGAATTGTGCAGTCACTTAGCGGGGTGACACACTTAACACTTCAATTTTTATTTTTATTTTGGATAATGAAATTATAATTTTTTTTAAATCATGACTAGATTAAGAGATTAGCACGTGATATTTTGAACTTAAACTACGGGAAATGGTGTGATTCGTGACTAATAGAAATAGTATGATTTGTGTCAAGGAAAATTAGTGATCATGATCGATTAAATGTATAATTTGTAATTAATAAATGTGACCATACTTGTCTTAACATTTGTAACTAATAATTTTGTGACAATGTATATCTTATTTATGACTATATTATATGACCAGGACTGTTATAATATTGAATGTTTGTAATCAGGTTTGTGTTCGTTATTATTATTTGTGATCAAATCTGTGTAAATTGTTATTGTTTATCATCAAGTCTGTCTTCAGTGTAATTGTCAGTGACCAAGTCTATCTTAACTTTAATTGTATGTGACCAAGTATTTCTTACATGTGAAAGTTTGTAACCAAGATTTTTCTTAAATATGACTATCTATAACTTGATCTATCTTAACTTTGACTATTTTGTGACCGCGTCGTCTTCATTTTGACTATATGTGAATATATCTATGTTAACGGTATTTTTTTTTTAGTCTAATATGTGAACAATGACTTTTTGGGACCAATTTTTTGTTAATTGTGACTATTTGAGTATTTATGACATTTTATGTATTAATCATGACTCTCCATGACCAAGTTTGTATTATTTGTAACTATTTGTAATTAGATCTATTTTCATGTGAATGTTTGTGACATATAATACGTTCATTGTGACCTGTTGTTATTTGACTGCAACTTATATTAATCAATGATCTATTTTATAGGTTACAACATATTTCTCGATTACGAATTTTATAAGATACAATTTATTTCACAGTCACAAATTATCAAATATATTGGTTACAAGTTATTTCTCTATTATAATTTATCAAATTAATTTATCACAACTTATTTATCGATCACAAAAACATAAGTTGTAGGTGACAATTACAAATTTAATAACAAATTAGAGAACTAGTGGAATCTCGTGATCAGCCTTCCTCTTGGAGTGCAATGAAGCTAGGATTTTAGGTTTAGGACGTATTAATTAGGAGTTGAATGGTTTAATTAGTTTTTTGGTATTGTTCAATTTAGTTAGTTTAAGAGGGCATTGGGCCTCTAGTTGAGCCTTCTTGTTTGGGCTTATTCTCAGCCTGTGGCCCTTCTTTTTAATTGACCAAGCTCAATCGGCCAATCCAATCCATTTATGATATTTACCAAAATCATTTAAAGGCATAGATGAAAGGAAAAACTTACGACTGGTTTCAAAGTTCTTCAAACCTCATCCACGTTCCAACTTCCATTGGACGACGCCTCCACCTCCTGTTGGCTGCTGCAGCCTATCGTGCTAGACGACTTGATTCTTTGACCTCCTGTGTTGTAGCCTGCCGTGTTGGGCTCCTTGCCTCCGACGGAATGGTCGGAACTCGAATTGGATGACTCGGACCCGTGAGTAGTGAGTCGTTCTCTCTCTTTTTTTTTTCGATTTTGGTGATTGGTTTTTTATTTATTTTTATTTATGAGTTATGAGTGATCGCTGAGGTTGATAAATGACAATTGATAAGTGAATGGAGAGATTTGATCATTTAGTTGTCGGTGTTCATCTCTTGCTAGTTGCTACTGAACATTCTTGATTTGTTTTGATCTAGAAGCATCATACTCATATTGACTTACATAACTTATGACTTATGAATTATTGATTTATGTTATTTGAGTTAATTGACAATTTGGCATCGAAATGAGAATTGTGGATCTGTGAATATGTGATTTGGAATAAATACTAATTTATGTTGTATGAGTCATTGAGTTATGAGTTGTGATTTATCATTTATGACTTTAGATTTATGATTTGGGCATTTATGTTTCGGAAATTTTAGGATAAATGAAAAAAAAAATCAATTAAGAAGATGTATTGAATTATATTTTCATATGTACATAATTTTTACGTTTTAGTACATTTACATATATATTGAATAATTTTTAATATTATTTAATCAAATATTAATAAACAACATCCCTATTACGATCGTTGATTGTCGACGGTCAATAGTCAATGATCAACAGCCAGTCCGCCCTAGCTGAACTTAGGTCTTGGATTCGCCAATGCTAAAGATGAGGACTTGATTGAACATGGGGAGGAGGGGTGGGTCTCGATATAGTGAGGAGTGAAGAGGAGTAATTTTTTTTCCCTTAATTATTATCTTAATTGAGAGATAATTATTCGTGCCAAAACTCATTAACATTTGGACGTCTTTGTTGTGAGAGCTTAAATGTTACAATAACTAAAGGTTAAAGATTTAAATGCTAATAAATTATTGCAGATCCAAATATTTAAAAGATAGACTGGTTCTATGTTCATTTTGTGGTCAGACAAAGTAGCCCGTTAATAACATATGTTACAAATTATATTACCACTAAAGTTGCTAAAATAAAAATTACATTTAATTAACTAAAATATTGCATTTATTAATAAATTTAAAAAATATTAAAATTATACCACAATCAAAAAATATTACATTTAACATCACAATATAAAAATGATAATAGAATGAAAATAAATATAAATTAAATTAAATCATTACATAATAAAAGGATATAATATGTACTAAAATTTGTTGTAGTATAAAATGAAGAGAAAAAAAAAATCTATAAATTACACCTATTGAAGAGTGTTGCACTAAATTGCATCAATTTGGTGTCAAAATATGAAGTTTTGCTAGAGGAAATTTTCACACCAATTCAACGTTTTACACCAAATTGGTGTAAAGATTGGAGATGTCCTTAGAATCAAAACTTTATCAAATTTACCCTATTCTAATTAAACCTCAATTTTAAAACCTTTACTACCCAGTCCAAAGACCACACATCACCGCCACCTCTCATCGCCTCGCAAACACCAATCAACAACCACAACCACAACCACCACCACCAACCCAAGCCATTGAATTGCCTCCGCGGCTCCGCCATTATAACTCCATCACGCAATCAAGGACGGAGCCAGAAATATTGTCTGATGAGGGCAAAATTTAATTAAAGCCGGACTTTGAGATTTCGACCGTGTATTTAACGAAGGTAAAAATATAAAATAATATTTCAACAAAACTAAAAATGATATAGTTTCTACAATGGATTAAAACATTAATGATATTAAGAATGGTTTCAATAAACTAGTAGACTATTAGTGTCCTTAACTTCAAGGATAATGCATATGGATGCAAATACTTGGTTTTAATAAACAAGTACAATATTGGTTTTGACAGAATGCTAATGCTACTTCAAACTAGTAGACTATTGGTTTCCAATCACTAACAGCTGCGCCAAACTTCAAGTCTACATATTTTTAAGGAATTGGGATGGGTGTTATAATTTTTAGTGAAAATTACATCTCACCCTACTTTTAAAGATCAATATTCTAAAATCAGGGTGAATGTTTCATTATACAAAAATCAGATATTAATTTAATTACTATAAATCAATATTTTAATATTAATAATAATATTATAAATTAATTTATATATACACCATTTATCCTATCTACCCCATTCAAACCC